ATCGTGCCACCCGGTACATTCGGTAGCCCGATAGCGCGGTTATCCGGCGGCGGCCTCCTCCCGCTCCGCCTCCGCCACCGCCTCCACCTCCGCCTCTATCTCTGCCGCTCCTCGCCCCCGAAATTTGCATGGCATTTACATCCGATTGCGGCGCGACGCGGACCGAAAGTGGCTAGCGTGTCCGCCGCGCGGCCCGTCGATCGAATTCGCCCCGACGAAGGGCACCTGCCGGTGTTCCGAGGGTCACGGGCGCGTCTCCTCGGTGCTGGCGCACAGGCACGCACGCGGGTACCGCGATTACGCGTCCGAGACACAGCCGCGCCGCCTCTCCGGCGGGAGGAATCGGTTCGCCGAAACGAAAGGGAAATCGCGGGGCGAACAATGAACGGTCGCTTGAATGGAAACGCGAATGCGCGGGCCTACGATCCGACAGGCGAGCGTCTGGCGAGCGGAGAGACTTTTACAGACGCGATCGTTCTACGCGCCGCGTCGGCGAACCGATGGGACTCCGTCCTACGACATCCATTGTGTCCGATGCTACCGCGCGCGGCTGGCGTGATTTAGGATTTAGGTATTCGCCTGTCGGCTCAATTATACGGGCCGGCGGAAGGGGGACGTTGCTTATGGTTGCACATGCAGCGGGGTTACCCGCTGATTCTCCATTTAGGGAGCAAATTCAATCGGAACGCACGGAACAGCGAAACTTTCGCTTCGATCCACCGGCCGATGAGTAACACCGGTGTTCGTCGAGTTAATCTAGGAGGCCGCGACACCTTGGGTTAATTGCCTGCGCAATAAAGCGCGGCGAGGATTAATCTTCGAGTATATTGCCGAACTAGAGTGAATCACGGGCAATCAAGAGCGGGAGTTCAACGGATTAGCGGCGCGTTAGGGGGCACGAACCTCGGAGGTTCGCCAGCGTTCGCAGAGCAACGAAATCCGGCGAGTTCGGGTGTGCACGCGCGAGTGTGCCGGAGAACGTTCGACGCGCCGCCCACTCGGGCCGAGCATTCCTCGCCAGTTCCGAATGAGCGCTCAAGGTAAGCCGAGAAGAGTCAGGGTCGTAGGTGCTGCAGTTACGTCGGAATTGGACATTATTTTCAGCGAGTGCCGGCCACTTAACTTGGGCGACCGCGAGCGTGCTGCGTGTGTGCGCTCGGCCGGCCGTACGTGCGTGTCATAGGTCCTATTATCGCGGCCGCTCGGTGCCGGGTCCGAGTATTACGAGTCTGCCCGTCGAACTTCGCGCGGTCCTCTCTCTATTTCTCTCTTGCTCTCCTTCCCTCTCGAGGAGAGAGCCTCTCCTCCGTCGGCGCGCGCGGCCGGATAACTCCGCGGCTTTACGACGAGCCGCGTCCGCGACGTTAACGAGCGTCCCGCGGTCGCGCGACGATTCGCGAACGTTCCGGTCGAAAGCTGAACGACAAACGGTGATATCGGGATTCCGTGAGAGTCGAGCGGCGCGGGGACGCGAGCTCGGCCGCCGATACTTCGGCCAACGGGTAAGGTCTCCGGTTTCCTGTTAGCGAGGACGTCCAAGTGTCTCCCTCGATCGTGTCCCCTGACCTTTGCTCGAGTGGACGGGCCCTCGCGATAGAATTTCCTTCCTGAACCCGAGAGGAAGAAGAAGAACAAGAAGAAGGAGCAGAAGAAGAAGCAAAAGGAGTCGGAGCAGCAGAAGAAGAAGAAGAAGAAGAAGAAGAAGCGGGGAACGGTCGATGGGCGCGAGCGCAGAGCGTGGTAAAAGCGTTTCGTTTTTATGCCGGGGCCGTTTCTACGGGCCACGCCGGGCGATACTGGCTATCTAGCCAGGAGCAACAGGCCGGTTATAAAACGCTCTCGACGCGTCGGACGAATGTCGTAAAAGCGAGAGCACTCGTTCGCGAGCGTTCGCCGGTCGCAATTTATCCGTTTAGAATTTTGAGAGAGGTCGCCTCTTCCGCCTTCGCGGCGTTAATTATCGCGGGTCGCGGTGCCCGTCGCGCGAAAAACTGGGATAACCCTCTCGGCCTGCCTCTTCGCGGTCCGAAGATTCGGGGACAAAGGCGCGCGCGATTAAAAAGCACGCGAGCCGCGTTTAATCGGGCTGGTAGCCCTCGCTCTCCCTCGGGAGCACGGGAGATCACGCGAGCGGATCGCCGATCGTTTTACGACGCCGCGAGCCATCTCCCGACCGGATCCTCCGACGAAATAACGAGTCGAGACACGACGCGAAGAGGTCCTCCGGAGGCGAGGAAAGAGCGCGCGGCTAATTGAATCGTCGCTCGTTCGAGATTAGAGACGCGTCCCCGGCCCTCGCATGCCGGGGCATAAAACGCGATCGGCGAATGTATATTAAGCAGCCCCGATTTTACGAGCCGTCCGGTAGGTGGTGAGACGATACCGCCGTAAGACGATACGCACGAGCGATCGCGGGACCGTTCGGAGCGTAACACACTGGATCCAGGGATCCCGTCGATCGATCCGATGGAATTTCGCGTCG